AATTTATCGTGATATTATGATCTTTTTCCATTGCATTTGTTTGTAATTTTCCTTTGTAAATTGTTGATGGAATTAAAATTTTACAAAAACTTAATAATTTCTTAAAAGAATGCAATTACCATCTTTCTTTTGCATTGCGCTAACAGTCATATTAAAGCCAATGTTTGTAACCGTCGAATCAGTAATCATTCGTAATACGGCACTCTCCCCCCGGAATGTAAAAAATTTATTCCGACTTGATGATAATTCACCAGTTCGGCTGTAATATTTATTCAAATTTTAGTTTATTTATTATATCTACAATTTTTTTTATTAATAATAGAACTTCAATTTTCACAGAATCATTGAAGTAATAATTGAAAACAGGCCTAACCGCTCATCCACAGGAAGGTAAAAAAGAAGAAAGAATGAAAAGTGGAGAGAAATAACAAATGATGACAGTGAAGCCAATCATTTGCAGCTTTTTTCTTTTGGAGCTAATCATTTGCAACTTTTTTTGTTTTCTCGCTTATTCCAAAGGAGTTAATAGTTATTGATATCAATGAACGGATTGCAAGAAATGCTTATCAAGCAGAAAGTATCAATATTAAAGAATTGTTCAGATAATGATAACATGCAAATATTGATTATTTTAATAAATATTAATAAGGATTTGTCAAAAGAGTATTCCAATTAATTTTAGTAAATAGAAATGTATTTATCATCAAAAATTGATCATTAATTTAGTAAATATAAATGTATTTGTCTTTAGTAAAATATAAAGTATAAATGTATTTGTCATCAAACTTAATCATCAATTTTGCACACCACACTGTACCTTATCAAATGTCTGGATGAATGCTTCGATTTATCCAAGAAATGAACGAAATCAGAACCATGTTCTAAGCTAAATGTATGAATTTCGATAATTATAGCATTATGATGCGTAGAATCGATAGCATATTGATCAAGCTGAAGTTCTGTTACACAGTCCAATTTATCGCAATATTCAAGAGGAAATCCAGGAGATGATAATATTGTTGGACGATCAATTCGAATGATATAATTTCTCGAAAAACATTTGCATGCTGGAATTGTAAGCAATTTCTGTTTTTTTTTTTTAAATATCAAGTTATAATTCATAAATTTTACAATGTATGAATGTAAATAGAAAAAGGAATGAGTTGTCGGGAGAAAATTAGGCTAATTAGTTTGAAAAGTTCGAAATGACTTCGTTTAGAATTTATTACTGATAAAAATTGAAACATACGACTATCGGTACGACTGAATTGAGCATCAAATATGAATTTATTACGTGTCCTAGTCGGGAACAAATCTCGTTGCAATACCGTTATCTGTATTAATATGGAATTTGTTCGTGATATTATTTCTTTCGGAGTCGTATCCATCAATCCAATATTCCTGTTGGAAAATCAAAAAGTTCGCAATAATAATGTAAAAAATTTAGCTAGCATTTAGATCACACTTCCGTAGTAATCAAAACACAATAAATTTTTATATATTCAGAAGTGTTTGGCAATTAGTCAGACATACTCAGATAGTGGAGAAATGGTATGGTCCGCTGGAACTTGATAATTTTCTGTTTCATAAACGTTAAATTTAGCATTAGAAGCGAGCGATTTTAAATTCAGTTTTATACCATGACCTTCACTGGTATTCACCATATATGTACAACCGGTAAAATATGCGAAATTAGTTGGTGGACTGGGTAATAATTTATCTTCACCTGTTGCCTCGTAGAAGAATGTCGGACAAGAATTGGCTGCAATATATTTCGAATATTAAAGTCAAAAATAATTATGTCGATGAAAATGGAAAATAATTATTTGAATTTAAAATTGAAATTATTGGCGCGAAATAAAGTAAGATGGACGAAGAAAAAATATATATCGAATTTTTTAAATTACGAATACTCATCGTGAAACAATCACGGTTAACTAATTTTATCATATGCATATCAATGTAATTAAATTGCAAAAATAAAAATGAAAAAAGATCGGTAGTCTCTTAACTGAACTGAAAGCTTGATTTAAAATAACAAAAGGCAGCAGTGATCATTCTACGCTTCAGTTGGTCAGTTCATGCAGGCAACGGTGAAATATTATCCTTTTGCAAAAGCAAAGCAAACTTATAAACATAGCGTACTTAATGAAGTAGTATTGACTCTATTAAAGCGAGCATGAAATCCGACGAATGTTTCCGTACTGTCAGTAATGAATTTCAGGATAAATCCACTACCAATAGAAGATGCAAATGATGGCCAACCGATGTCTTTTCCGGATAACCTGAGCTTTTTTCAAATTTGATAAAATTTGTCGAATTAGTAAGAAAGTGAAAAATTAGCCTTTCAACTGCAAAATTCATCATCATACAATATAATACTGCTCATTGGTCATCAACAGCAATTTCAGGAAAATGTGGGGTATATGTGCTCTTTCACATCTTCGTACTATTTAAGTTTCAGAAAATTTTGTGGGAAGTATGAATGTTGCAAAAAAAAGAAGCAATAGTATGTATACAATTCTATTTTCTAAAAATTCAAAAAAAAAAAGAGAAACGAACAGAAATATGAAGAAAATTTTAACAAATTACATACACAGCAATACGAGCGGAATATTGCGTGCTCGCAAAGATGAATGTTTGATAAATTTCAAGGAAATCATGTCGTAATTCAGTTTCAAAAGAAACAAATGACAAATGAATTGATTGACCCGGGATTGCATCTATCTGTAAACTTTTTAATGAAGAATTTTCTGCAACAAAATTCAAAGAATTTCAATATAAAATCTAAGGAGGAAACAAGAAAAAGAAGCTCATATTTTTCGGAATAGCTTTTCATTCATATTTTTTCTTTTGTGCACTCCAGTAAATAAATTCCTAAATTTTTAATTAAAACAAAAAATCTATAAACAAACCTCATATTTACAATTTAGATAGTTACAGTAATTGGTAGGATAACCGGGACTTTTTAATTCACCAGCTGCAACATCAATGCCAAAATTCACAGATCGACAGTTACATACACTGAGACGATTCATTCCCGCACCTGTGGTAAAATGTTTAATTTGAAACTACTACCAATAGTACGAATATTTTCCTTCTCTCAATGAGAGGAAAATCTCTCAAATAGCATTTTGAGAGAATTTTTTTTAATATATCACAATTAATTGTCTGCCTTTTCCGTTACAATAAAATATTTGAGAAAATTCCTCAAATAAACTTAGAAGTAATCTTACCGGTACGATAAGCATTAGTGATAAAAATGAAGTAAGCGATGAAATGAATGGATAACAGAGAGGAGTTCATATGTGCAACAATTTCCATATAATTCTATCACTGCGATTAAAATGTTGACGAAATGCTTTGCAATTTGCTGATGATTATAGCTTTAGGATGAGATGGTTGCTCTTCCGGGTTATAAGCATTGTTTGGTATGGTGTGATGTGATCGCAAATACCGATCGAATTACATGCAACAATAAACAATGGTCATATATTAAAGTATGACGATACCAGGGGGGAAAAAAAAGAAAACATCATCGATCGTTCAGAAAAATTCAGTAATTTCATTTTAATCTTGCTCGAAATTCAAAAGAATTTCGCAAATTTGCTAATATTTTTTATATACTGATATTTTTTACACCACTTTTGTGAAATATATCAGTTATGCATAGCTGCCAATTATTTTATCTCAAGCATTCACACTGCTAACCCACAGAGAAAACTTAACCAAAAATACATTCGATGTAAAAATTTTGCTATGCTCTTAAATCTTTAAATTATCATTTAAGAAGATGCCAAGCCAATAATTCGACTTTTACTCGGAATGATTCATTAAACTTTGAAATGAATGTAAGAGACTTCTGACTAACGAACTTATTAACGGAGGCAAACTTCCCGTCCTTCACAATTCGTGAAATGTAGATCATCGAGTTTTAGGTTTAGATGAAGCTTTTCAAATCTATTTGATAACCAAGCAATTTTATTTCCTTTCTCATTTCATGGTAGTAATGCATAAAAGCTGTAAATTTTAATTCTTTGCTTATTTTTCAAAATATACATTGTTAGATAAAGGTTTTTTTAAGAAGATATTCATAGAAAGGAAAGATGATGATAATAATAAGACACTTGAAGGTAAGAAATATAAGGAGGTGAAGAAAGATGAAAAACTGCATAACAAAGTTTAGGTAGTAACCCGCAGCATTAAAACAAAGACAAGATAAAATTAACAAATCATTCGCCGACAAATGCCTCTCATTAATCCAAAGTTCTGTTCCAAAGAGAAAATCATTTACTGTTGAGACAGAAATTTGCTTTCATGAACAAAATTTCAAAGCTTAATCCCAAAAGCATTGAATTTTATCTGCAAATTTCCTTCCCTTCAAAATCCGATTACATGAACACACAAAGTTTACCAAAATTGGTGTTGCATTCATGAAAATTATGTTTTAGGCAGATTAAAGAGACAGACGAAAAGAATGAGCTCAACAGAAGTAAAAAATCTTTTTCAGCAAAATTTTCACGGAGAAAACTTTTTTTATCCTTTTTTCTTAGGCCAATTTGTTTAAATATGAAAGACATATGAATCCCTATATTAGTGCATGCTTTTAAAATATAAAAAAATTAAACCTATTATGGCAATGTGACACTATAAAACAGAAAATAGTGTAGAAAAATAGTAATAATGATAATGATTTTGGAAAATTTTAAGAGAAGATATCTTCTTCCTTCAAAGGCAAATATACGAAAAATAAATAAAGCAAACATATGAGCGATTTACACCGGAAGAAGCAAAAGCACACTTGAAACACTTCACAATACGCATGCATTAAGAAATCAGCAAATTATCGTTACCATATGTTGTGATTAATAATTCAAGTGCAATGACTGATTTTACAGGAAAACTAATACTTTCCTAGCTAAAGCTTTACACATTCAAAGCACTTAAATATTTCGAACGGCCATTACATCTGTTTTAAATTATTTGAATTTATACGATCAAACCAAAAGAAATAAGTCTAATTTTTTGGCATATGAAATAATTTTTACTGATTCACGACTAATTTAGAAATATTCGTTGATGTGGCAAAAAATATTTTCCCTTAAGCAATCCGAGCTTTTTCGTTTTTTTACATAATAAATAACATTGCAAATCATTGGTCGCTTATATCACTAAAAGGTAATCAACTAAGAGTTCTTATATAAATTTCTGCAATTATTTTACCTAGTTTTACCTAGCAAAAGAAAGTCATGTCAACAAACCATGCCCAAACTAAAATATTATCTAAAGAAAAGTTATGCTTTTCATAAAAAATATTTCAAGAATTCAAACATCCCAGATCTCTTCGGCCGAAATTTGTTTTCCACATAGCTCCTCATTAGCGATAGCAGCGGCAACGATCGTATCATTTGATTTTGCAGCCGATCGATTCGAAATTCTAGAATATATACTTTCACTATCAGAAAATGCCAAATCATAATGTGGTGGTATTGAAATTGGTCGTGTATAGCCATTAAGATTTGTGTTGTATATTCCCTTCGCATCAGCAGAAGCAGCGTTTTGATCCGCGAATATTTCCTCTTGACATGACGAGGAATGTGGGAACGTTGTTAAAGCTTTGTTGGTTGAACGAGTAGCAGTGATGACAGCAGCAGCAGAAGTAGCACTATTATCATTTGACAGATCTAGTGGTATATCGGATGATGTTGGAAGCGGGTCTGGTGACGAAAGATGCAAGTCAGTAGGTAGAAGTGCTGTTGCTGAATTTGCTCTGAAGTGAATATGAACGAATCCGGCACGTGTTCCGGATGATGTTCGTCCATGATGTACGCATCTGAAATTTTTATTTTTTTCAGGGCTCTGATCTAGAGTCAAACCATGTCTGAAACTGATTAAAGTCAGCTTTAGATGCATTAAATTGCTATTCACAGATGGAAGAGTAATAGTGCCGGAAGATTCGCCTTAAACTAGAACAACTATGTTGCCTACTTAAATGATTAGGTATTAAAGTTATTATTACAATACAAGCATTGCAAAATAATACAACACAATTTATAGTAGTAATTGTAACTGATATTAACAATACTGTTTGCACAAGTTTCTCAAATTCAAATATAAGCTTTTATTATCTAATGTTTAATTATTCCTGCATTAAATGTACTAATTTAACGCTCAAAACTATTTTGTATTTTGATCTATAATAAAAAAAGTGTTCATCTTAATCAATTTTGCCTTTTACATAAAAAATACCGGTTACGAGAACGTTCTGTTGTAAAACACCGTCTGTCAGCAATCTTCAGACGCATTTGTTCCATACGCGCCATATCTTCACGGAACCTAAATGCAATAATAATTTTAAAAGCAAAACTCAAAAGAAAAATGTCATGTTGATGAGTTATTAAATACAGAAATTAAAAAAGTTTCATATTTAACTATACATTTCAAATCTACAGAACTGCTATTAATAAATATAAAATTGACATGCCTACGATCATCATTATTCCTAATGCGATCAATTTCTCTTTCCAACAAATTTGTTCTGCTTTCTGAACATTTGCGCTCGTCTTCTAGTTTTTCGGAAAGCCTTTCCTTCTCTTCCGTTAATTCTGCTATCTTCCGATCTTTTTCACTCTTTTCTTCTTCCATTTTTTTTAACTTGCCGGAGCTTGAAAAGTTTTGGCAAAATTAACAAATATAAAAAGTTGATTATAAAACACGAAGATTCAAAAAAATGAGTCTTTTGATGCGCTACAATCAAACATTTCAAAACACGAACTGACAGTGTATCCGATTGTGTAGCTATTGCCATTTTATTTCGCTGCATTTCCTCGTGAAACTTGGCTTCTAATTCAATAACATTTTTTTCCAACTGCGCAATAACATCTTCTTAACAGAAAATACTTTTAAAGAACCGATGAAAAAAAAAGAACGATAAACATACCAAACAAAAAACCTCCCATCTATTTATAAGAAATTTTAAGCCACGACAGAATTTGAATGCATAAGTTTGCTGTTCAATATATGAAAAAGAACCTTTCGCATGAAGAGTTTTCTTGAGCTTTGTTAACTCATCGCTTTCTGGATTTCTAGCACTTGAACCTTTTTTCACTCCAACTGAGACACTTTCTTTAGCCAGCTGCATTTTCAGTTGCGCATTCTCCATTTCAAGTTGCGCCCTTTCACGGTTCCATTCATCTTCCCGGGATCGTTTATCGAACATTGATTTCTGTAAGTAATTGTAAAATTGAGCTTATTTAAAGCCATGTGCATAAATGCAAGAATTTTTTCTAGCAGATTTTGGAATGATAAGAAAGTAACAAACTTCAACAGCTTTCTGCAACGATTCGGCCCTTTCTACTCTTTCCGTAAGCTCCTCCACTTCTTTTTCTTTCCTCCACGCTTTTTCTTGTGCATTTCCTAAAGCCTTCTCCAAAATCTAAAAGAAACAAGTTCCAATAAATAGAAAAAATTGTGACCAGTTAACAAAACTAAGTGAAAAGCAAACCTGAATGTGATTCCTCTGATCCTTCAAGGTAACTTCCAGTGCTTCAATATCCATTTTCTGGCGCTCCTTACATGTTATCAATTCCTTATCTGAAAATATTTCAAAAAACAAGAGACTTCACACATTATCAAGAAAGATGATGAATTATTCAGATTTATTAAAATCTTTTTCCTACCGAATGAACTTCAAGCACATGAAAAATGAACAAACTCTGAGGAATGATTTCATTGAGTAACAAATTAAGTTTATTAATTTGTTCTGACTGATCTTCTGCCTGCATCCTTCGTATTAATTCAGCAATTTTCGTTCGCAACATTTCGTTCTCAGAAGCATATCTGTAGTCATTTCTAGTATATAATGCTAAAAACAGTCTGATGTAGAATTGTAATAGGAAGAGAAGTATAACACTGTAAACCAAAAAACAAAACATTATGAAAATAAAAACTTAAGAATGCACGTCACTACAAGATACCATCCCATAATTACATAAGAAGTTCACTGTTTCATCAATTCTGAGCACACCTCGCTATCTGTTGCTCCATTTTCATACGTGCGGCTTTCTCAAGGTTGTCCTGCCTCTCCTTCTGTGCCGTTAAATTTTCGTACTCCTTTTCAATAGTTTCATAGGCCTTTTCTAACTTAAAAAGCGAAACATTATGAAAATAAAAATTTAAAAATGCATGTCACTATAAGATACCATCCCATAACATCTTAAAAAGTTGAAAGTTGGTTACTAAGGCATTTAACATAGAAAAATGAAGGCTAAAACTAGCAAAACTATTGATTTATCAGTAGAAAATGCTTACGTCACAAGTGATAATTAATAGATACAGAAGATGGAGTCGAACTTAAAAACATGTAAGAAGTTAATTGAAGAGAAAAGGACCTGTTGTAAACGGCTTGCTTTAACAGTTAAAAAATCACACTGCTGCTTCAAGGCAGAATTTTCGTCTTGCAATGCTCGAACTAAATTTTGATTAGCAATTAGTTGAGCTTTAAAATTTGCATGTTCGCTTCCATCAAATGGAGGACTGGGATGATAAACTGGTGAAACAGATTCTGTGACTCTGAAATTTCAATTCTGTTTATACCTTTAGCAATACAATGAATTAACAAATACAGTAAGTGCATATAAATAATCCATCACCATAAACATCTAGTACTGTTAAGCAATTTTGTGAATTTTGTGAGTTCGCTGTAAACTTGCCGTGCTGACAACTGGGACAGTAGCAAAATTGCAATAAACTGCAAAAAGTAACCGCTGTTAATTAAAATGCAATTATTATCAATGTAATATAGCAAACAAACAATTCGTTTTTCTGATCGTTGATTGTTATGAGACATGGTTGTGAATGACTCATCGGTGGTATCTGCTGCTGAGTAGCAGCTGTAGATGAAGTTGCAAAACTTCTAAACAAAAGAACGGAATTTTTGAAGAAAAAAGAAATAGAATGTTGTATCTTCTACAAGTTGAAATAAATTCCTGATAAAAAGAAGAAAAATAAACTAGGGAAATTGTTCTCTGTCATTCCCACGAAATTTTAAAATCATCAAGTGCTCACTAAACGTTTCTACATTTTTATCTCCTAGAAGAATTGAAGCAACTGGAACTAAGCAGAAGAATTTTCTTTCTATAAGACAAGAATTTTCATGGAAAGAAGCATTGAAGACATGCATAAAAGATACTTGATGAGTTCATGATTGGTTCGATTTGATAGCTGTTGTTGCTGTTGAATTACTTGTGACTGATATTTGCTAATCATCTGTTTTAATTTGGTATCTTCTGCTCCATCAATTTCAGTATCATCCACTGCAAATAATAATAATCTGTAAAGCAACAATAACTACAAATGACGCAGATCTCGGCAACATTAAAATCAACTGACTGATCTAATTCGTTCCAATTAAATCTGAAAATTTGCAAAAAAAGTGACATAGTTGAATGAAAAGAACCCGACAAAAAAACAAGACCACTATTTCGATTGCCTTTAATTATAATCAATAAGAGTTTCTCAATTTTCGAAAACATGTAGGGATACTATAGTAAATTAATAAGCATTATTGTTTGATCTAATCAAAATACGACTAACACATATTAACAATTAGGGACATTAATGCTATGTAAAATATCATATTTAACTTTAAAATGAAAAGAATGATACACCTTGCTGAGCATTTATTTTATTGCTTGAAGTGGAGATATTATGCGCCTCATGCAGCAATGAGTTAAGGATTCGACCTTCCTGCAAATGCATGGGACTTACTGCATGTACACGTCGATCGCGTGGTTCTATCGACCAACTTCGCAATTCGCGTCGTTCACCATCCATGACTTTCCCGTTCGCAGTGCTACCCTAATTGACCAGTGAGAAGATTATTTTTTCGGAACTGGAAAAAAAATGACTAAATCAAATGTTAGCAATTACAAAAACGTCGAGTTCAGTAACAGATAATAATGTTGCTCCTCTATTTCAAAGTGTTATAACATAGGTCGCAAGTCGTTGGAAGTTCTCTAACAGCAGCCAAAAGAAATCTATCCATAATCAGTACAACACCATAATACTCTCATCACATTCTGATAAGCCATTGATCTCTAATTAATTAAACCACTCCTCACCTCAAATACCAAACTCTCAGTGAACACATACAAACGTATGTTGCATGCCTTCGGTATCGGTCACATATGCAGTTCGATTTAACGCGGTTCTCTAGACGCTCAATCTCGGTGTTTTTTTTTTGCGGGGTACTGTCTTTTTTTCTACCACAAATGCTCAGATGGTGGGTTTGATTAGTGGTTACTTGCTTGCATTACCATCTGTTCTTCACTTATTTCATGCCACGCGCAAACCTTCTACACCTATATACCAGTGATAATTGTGCTCTGTTATCATCGCTTTCGATCATTCCTTATTTTTTAGATTTTTCCTTGGAAGGAATTTCTTATCTTATCAATCTTCACGCTAACTTTTGATAATTTTGTAAAAAATTTCATATGCTTCTAATATGATTGCCTAATATGGGCATCTTATTCGATTGTATTTTGTGTGTGAATTAGAATATTAGCTAAATCCCTCGAGAATGGAAATGGAGTTTCAGATTTTGTTAGATGATTACGAACCAGATTGGTATAGTTATCTTAGGCATAGCTTTGCTTTTATCCTTACGGGATATTTATGGACATTCCAAAGATGAATACGATGATAATGAGGTGTTTAAGAAGGAATTCGATGACGAAGTTAGTTTAGTTTATTTACAATATCTTGCAAAAAGTAGCGATTGGTAAATCATTCTGCAAGTTACGAGATCAACGTTTAAACTACTTTCTTCTTTGCATCATAAATTGGATTGATCATATCTTTTGAACATTATTGAAAAGGCTTTCTGTTCCAGAAAATTGGCGAGAATTTTGAGGATGCAGACAACATTAGAGTTAGGCAAGGATCAGCTCACTTCACTGCACCACCACATACTACTAAGAAACTTCCCAGCATGAAGTTTTCATTTTGGTCAGATTTACATTTATAATTTTGGAAGATATTACAAAAGATAATCTTCGCTAAACCTTGTTTTAATTTTAGCATAGCCTGCCTTGCACTTAGCCTGAACTTACTCAGTAAAATTGTGATAAAGCGCTTCATATCTAGAAAGGAGTTATACTTGCATGAAAAATACTTCTGTAATTTCAAGTATGTACATAATTTCAGTGTTTCTTGCGGTTATCGACAAGCATTTGATGAATTTTCCCGTTACATTCATGAAAAGTATCCTTCAATGAAAATTGATGGCGCCAATCACTCACCTGAAGTATGGAAACACGTTTTGGCTCAGGTTGAAAATTTTTTCTTTACTTCAATTGCTTAAAACTTAATGTTATTTAAAATATGATTGAAAAAGCTTGTAATGAACTTTATTTTACTTCTTTATCTTTCTTAAATCGCAAAAGTCCAATATCGAGCAGTAATTTGCTAATTTTGCAGATCAAATGCATGTCTGCAAGATTACTAATCATTGGTTAGCTTTGAATTGGCTTTTGCTGATTAAAGCAAAAGTTTGACACTTTGACAAAATGTTTCTATAAGTCAACTTTTTGATATTGTGTTCAAGTTGAGTTTGAGATCATGTTAGGGCTATATGAATTAATCAACTTAATAGAATTCCAATCATAATAGAATTAAACAGTTGGTCAGTTCCTTTATCGATAGTGCTGTGTTATTGGATGAAAATTTCCGGAAAATGCAGAAAGTATGTTTCAGATTATTGGACTGGGGAAGATTGTTCTCATTGTATTGATCGTGATGGGGCAAGATCCGTTCGCGTCGATCGGACAGCCGACCCCGCGCATTTTCTCATGGGCTCTGAGCAATAAAGTTTCATCGTGCATGATGTTGTTTCTTCTTTCTAATACTATCGAAAGTTAGTTGTTTGATTTTGACCAGCACCATCTTTAAAAAATTGAAGTTTGATGTTATTTTTGTACTTAATCTCTGATATATTGCTCAAAGTGTCCTGATCAGAATGCTACACTCATTTTGAATTATTTTGAAATAAAAAAAATGATTCGGAAATAGAAATAATTTTTGCTCAACGTCCAAGTGCTTTTTTTGAAAATGAAATGATGGGAATCTTTCAAGCTAAATTGTTTTGGGAGACTTTATCCACATAGGAGTTGTTTATTTGAATTCAAAATTAAATATGGAGTAAACTTTTTGTTCTTACTTTAATTTACTCTTCACTTCAGGCTCTCTTATGTCAACGGGAGCGTTCGAGATTTACTTGGGTGATGAACAGATATGGTCGAAGCTTGAAAGTGGACGAGTGCCATCACCATCAGAGCTAGTTCAAATTGTTGACCAACAAATGGAATTGCAAGGTGTAAAAGTAGGTTTTCCACCAACTAATTTTTTTGATTTTGTTTGATGGTTTCATAGTTTTTGTTTATTTCAGGTTCCCGATACATTTGCATTTGATTCGTCTTCATGAGCCGTGAAATGATTACCAGCTCAAAAACATATATTTTGGTGGTTGAGTTACTAAATTTGTTGCCGCTTAGAATTTATGTATGAATTTAATTTTCCCCAAACGTCTCTATTTCCTTGCTCTTTGAAAAAATTTGCCGAAGTTATGCGCAGATTTTTTTACTTTCTTTTCACATCTTTATAATGTACGTCCTGCCATTTATGATAATAATCATCTTCGTAGATGGATTGGAGAAAAATAAGTGATGAATTCCGATAATGAAGCTACATCAAGTTTCTAATTTTTATGCATATTATACCTCGACTATGATGGGAATATTTTGCTTCCAGTAATGAGTCGAGTATGAATTATTGTACTTGTGAATATTTCACTCCTTATTTTTGCATCTTTACTTATTTGTTTAGTTCCAAGTGTTTCTAGTTCAGAAAGCACTTTCTAGTCTTTGGCTATAATTGTTTGTATCACTGTGTTTTATACCAGCGTTCATTATAACGTCATTTCATTATTAATGCTATCTCGAAAACTCCGAATTGTGTTCCAATCTTACTTTTAAAATCTATTAATTACAAAAATTCTTGAATGAAAAACTAACACGATTTGGTAATCATTTTTACGTCTGATTAGCTTCATGATGCAGTTTTATTCACCTTTCACAGTGTTCATGTCGTTTTGGGCCAAGCATTTTAATGTTCGAGTATATTTCACTTAAGATTTTATTGTTAGTTAAAATTAGTTGATTCCAGAATCAGTGTGCACATCCTTAACCCCGCAAGCTTGTTGCTGTATCCTTCTACACGTTTCACAGATTAGCATCAACATAGATAATATTCCAGCTGAGTTTCTCACTTTATCTGGACTTCAAAAAAAAAGACTTCACAAATCGATGAGAAGTCAAGACGATTACTGAGGCTACTGAAAGTTTTGAATTACTAGCTTTAAGTCAAAAAGCCTACGCCACTCATATTTACAAGTCTCGATTTTACGATTCGTTTTTATGATGATTGAGTCAGTAAAACTTTATTGTATTTGTACTGGACCAGATTCTGATCCTATACTATGATGAACACCAAATTTGTTTCGATGTCCAGAAAATTTTATTTTTGAAATTAAATACTAAAAAAATACATAATCAAGTGTAATCATAAATTATAACGAATGAGCGAAAATTTTCCATGCATTTTTATTTGTACTAAACAAAAAAAAAATTCCTGCGTGTTATATAACATAATATGTAACATACCATACACATTACCACTAGTTCATTGATGACAATATTTTATTCGTCGCTGACGGAATAAATACTTCAATCAATGCGTAAAACTAGTTTTTCACAAAATAAAATTGAGAGACTACGAGAAAAAATGAGGAACCACTACAAAATGTTGAATTTAAATCGAGAAGGTTTTTGAATATAATTAGCTGCGCACCAATATTTTTGTGGATTTGATTCTCACAGAAAGAGAGTATTCGACAACTTTAAGTTCAAACAGAAACCTGAGGAGATTCACTTAGAAGTGGATTCAAACTTCATAATTAACAAATAGGAATCAGGTTCTAAAGAAAGTCGATTGATTTAATCGAAATATGAAATATATGAAACAGGTATTTCTATGAAAACAAAATTGTCGGACTGATTTTTTAACAAAATGGAAAAAATTTACAGACTAAGAAACAATGAACGAGGAACCACAAGATAACGTTGAATCTGAAGAAAATTTATTGAGAGTAAGAGCACACTGACAAGCATATCTTAACGTAGAAAGTAAACTTATTTTAAGAAAGACTGCGTATTTTTGGAGAGTTTTATTCTACAAATCAAGAAGAATGGAACTTGTACAGAGAGTACTTGCCTAAAAAAGTACTTTGCCTATTATTCAAATACAGCATAATATAATATGAGCAGAATTGAGGCAAAATATAAAAACTGCACAGGTTCCCGGACCATATCCAAAAAAAAACATTTGCAGGCACCAAACTGAAGTTCTTCCTGTAGTTATGCAGAAATGCCATTGCTCTGCAACCTTGCTCTTTTTTATTTTTTTCAAAGATAAAAAAAACCAAAGATAAAAAAAACCAAAGATCATTCTTAACTATTATCATATCAACTCCAAGTAAACATTTTCTACTAGCCTGTACATTTTTCGGCAAGTTCTGATATTTCATTATAAATTTAATTGCAATAGAAAAGTCGAAATTACAAACAAAGTGGGTCTGTTACGATCACGGAGCAGTTAGAAAAGCATTTCATTTAGCTAAGTAAAAATAAAATAAATTGTTCTAAATGTGAAAAAAAAGCTCATGCCTTCATATCCTGTATTTGTTTGATGAGATAAGCCTTCTCATCATTGAACTGCTCGTCTTCTGTACGGTCAGTGTGAAAATTGTTAAGGAATTCGACCAGTTTCTCCTTATTCCTTAATAAAATATCGGCAACAGCCTTCGATTTGTTCGGATTTGCCACAAAAACCTAGAAAATTAAAAGATCCAATCTATTTGCAAGTAAATGAAATAAACCTTTACTTAGCATGAAATATGTACCAAGACAGATTACTAAAGCATTTCAATTCTATTAAGTTTGCGCAACGTTTTAAGTATGCTATATATAAAACTATAAGTTCGATCTTGAAGGTACCAACAAATGGCTCGCTTAATCAATAATTATCTGAAATTTTAAACCAAACCAATTTAAAATTATAGAGAATAATAAACGATAAACCTTAAAAACATGAAATGCTTCAAATTGTATGCTGCGACTTTTCTCTTTGAGCATATTCATCATGAGCTTGAGATTATCAGCATTATTGATATATCTCGTCATTATATTAAAATTGTGACGATCAAGTAATAACTCGCCCAATAACTGAAAGAGATAAAAAGATGAAATAGAATTCCTGTACCGATCAAAATCTCTGCTTCATAACAAGCAATCATGATGACAAATGGTAAATTCTACGACAAGCATACAAACCTTTAAAGATTGTCTTCGTGTAACATAGTTTTCTGAATTCAGTAAGTTTTGATAGGCTTGAAAAAATTCGTCGTATTTGCTATCGAGAAATTCAGCACAAACTGCCTTGTGTCTTGTAACTAATTCTTTAAACGTCGAAAATGCATCCGATGCAATATCAAATGTAGATACCTGAAACAAACAGACGTATTGCTGAACTTATGAATATGTTTTAATTTTTTACTTCATCGATTCTGTCCCAAACAGCCCCGCTGAGACAAAGCGGCCCATAAACGGTGCAGCAGCGTGATCAGCAGGCTGATTAATATCATCTACAAATTATTTCATTTACTATATCTATTAGATTCGATATTAATAAATCAGGCATTTTCCAAGTAAAATACATTGTCATGCTCATACATTACTCATCATTCATAGTGAAATAAAATGCTGGAATGAAATTTCATTAAAGTTTGCAACCCACTGGCATAAAAGCGCACGGCGGTATATGAAAAATTATACCGATTACCAACAATTACCAGTCGACAGTCGAAATATTAGAAGTTATTAACTAACAATAAAGAAAATCTTTTCGTAAAAGCAGCAAACTAACCTCAACATAATTGAAGAATTTGTAAAAATCTTTGCCATAAAGAACCAATTTTGCAAGATTTTCATGTCGGATACATTCTCTTAACATACTGCCACAAGTAACAGCTATCTCAGGAGTTTCATATCTGCAGAAGAAAGAGACTTGATAACTGCAAATCATACTAATTATCGGCATTTATTGATGGAAAAAATCATAAAACGAATACTACGATGAACTTCCAAACTATATCAACTGCATCGCTTTTTTATTGCTCACTCTACATGCTTTGTTGAACGAAAATATGTCCTTTTTTGTCATCATCCATGTAGGTTGTAATACAGACAAAAGTAACTTCATGCAGTAGTTTTCAAAAAAAAATTCCACTTCCGTATTGAAAGATTTTTCAGAGTTCAGTAATTTCGTATTTGTGTACGAAATCATTCTATCTTCTTGTACATATTTAAAGACAAGTATTCATTATATCGAAAAGAATTGCTATTTATAAAAAGATATCCATTATTTTTTTAAAATTGTTTACGTCTGTATCCATTCGTTCCCATTTTTCTGTAACAAACTTAGCGTAATTTATTTGCAGTATCATATGACTGCAACTAACGATGTAATTCTATAGCTTGATGAATATTATTTGAAATGGTAGACAATGAAGCCTACCCTTTAACCAGTGCCTCAAGAATCTGTGGTCGAGTATGCACATATTCCACTGTTGGTGAACGTGTTCCAATCTGTCGTCGCAGGAGATTGTTGAAAATTTGTGCAACATCCTTTTTCGCTTCGAAATCAAGCTTTGTTAAGTTCTGAATGAGCATCGGAAGAATGGATGAATTGTACGATTCCTGAGCCAATTGCGCCACCTGTAAAACTATTACTTTTTGAGTAAGAGAACAGTGCCACTGGTTTCGATTTCGAACTGCATCAACTTGGAACTCCCATTGCCAGTGGATTTCAACAGTTTTGACTAAGAGACTGTATTCACTTGGGATAAATACAAGTGAAATTTTTGATACAGATTTTAAAATCTTGGAGTAACGCATTTATTTTGGATTTAAACAATTGCACAAAAAATCAACCTGTTCCACATGCGGCTCCTGACTCTCTTGTCCATAAATGATACCTTTGATTGCTTGTAATGATTTGCTTACTTCTTCTGCAACTTTTTCATTTTTTTTATCTCCTCGTTCTAATTTTTCCAGTTGTGTCAGTGAGTCCTTCAAATTTTTAACGATATCCGGTGGTGATTTGTGCGATTTGCCAAACAGTGGCAAGGGCATTGTAAATTAATAAAAGCTGAAAGTTAAAAATCCCTTCAAAATACAAATTTTAAACGAACAAAACCAACAAACCAACAAACGATATTAACAAGAAATACGGCGTTTCGTAAAAAATTAAATACAATCATTTTCGTTTTTGCTAAATCAAATATACAAATATACCACTACCCTCAAA